CACTCACTATTAATATTTTACAACTTCTATGTCGTCCTGCTTTTAATATCTTCTTCGAATGAAGAACATAGCCAGATCCGACATCACCAGGAGCACATGAATCCATGTCTTCACACTATGACCAAATGAATTCCACAAGTACTCATGAATATTGATTACAAACTAAAACCAATCGCAGACAAAAGCGTCGCCGCATATTTTCAGGACTTCTAATTTAATTCTTATATGCAAAGCTATTGTATCACCAGTAATACGTTAAATTAAACACATTTATTAAGACTGATTCACGCAGCCATCATATTTCGTTAAATAAACTTTTCTGAAAATCTTACAAGTCGATTTTTGCAGGTTTCTAAATATCTCCGTGTGAAGACCTGCCGGCCAACGACTCAAAGCTTATAAATAGGTACAAGCTAAAAAAAAAAATCAGAGTAAAAAAATACTTAAATTAAACGATTTTCAAATTTTGATTTTTGTGTGTCTTAATTACTTTTTGATGGATGTTGTCATTTCACGAAGGGCATTAAAACAAATCGAGGTATTTCTGTTGGAAATCATGGTTTCTCTTGTGGGTTCCCACCTACTTTCCCTTNCATCATATTTCGTTAAATAAACTTTTCTGAAAATCTTACAAGTCTTTTGCAGGCTTTTAAATATCTCCGTGTGAAGACCTGCTGGCCAACGAGTCAAAGCTTATAAATAGGTACAAGTTAAAAAGAAAAAATCAAAGAGTAAAAAAATACTTAAATTAAACGATTTTCAAATTTTGATATTTGTGAGTCTTAATTACTTTTTGATGGATGTTGTCATTTCACGAAGGGCATTAAAACAAATCGAGGTATTTCTGTTGGAAATCATGGTTTCTCTTGTGGGTTCCCACCTACTTTCCCTTTGCAAGCTCCGTTTCTCCTTTTAATCCCTGCGCTTTGTGACACACGCAAAGTCGTTCAGTCATCTGCGGGTCTCCCTCACCGACACGCGTGAATTCGTTGTGGGTTTCTCGTGTACGTACTCATCCGTTACGTCGCTTTTGCTTTGAGCTATACACAGCCCCATTCACTACCAGACGAGTTTCCGGCGAGCCGCCCATACTGTCGCTGTACGTTTTCCAGTGCCTTTGCCTATTTGTTACTCCGTAGGTTTCCTCTTGCATTTTGTCATAAGTTACCATATATATGCTTCGCGTGCATTCACTTTACTTCCCTTCAATTTCCCATGAGTTTGGCTAAACGTTGTTCTGTGTGTTCCTCTGTACGCAACCCCTTGGTTTCCTGGTGGGGTCTCTCCTACTTTCCCTGTGGGTCCTTCCCATGTGTTTCCCGTTCGATACTCTATGCATTCATTGTGCGAATCGTGCAATTCATGCCTGGTGTTTTCGGTTCTTGTTTCCTTATATTTTCCAATGAATTCGTTAATGTTTTCCCGGTGGGTCCCTGCTATATTCGCTTTGCCTTCCTTGTTTGTGACACTGCGCGTTTCCTATGCGCTAAATGGTATATCTCCTTGTACATTAATTTGCAAGTTTTCTGTTTATTCCACGTGTTTCCCTTCCGTTTTCTGTTCTGCGTTCAATTTTTTTCTGGCCCTCCCCCGCACGTTCTGACATAGGTTACCCGTTCGTTCTTTCATGGTTTTCCAGTGGGTACCCTCCGAAGGTAGCCTTGCACTTTTAGTCTCACATGCATTTAATAGTTTGTAACTTGCTTTGCTTTGCTTGTCCACTACAGCGCGTGTGCGTCCCATCGTGTATTTCCACATAAATTCTACGTGCGTTCCCCCCCGTTTCTCGTGTCTCGAGCCTCGATCAACACTCGATCGATACTCGATCGACACTCTATCGACACCTCGGTTGACACTCGATCGACGCTCCATCAACATCTCGGTCGACAGAAGGTCGAGAGTCGACCAATTTTTGATCGATGAGTCGGTCGACACCCGGCCGAATATCGACCGACCGTTGATCAAGTATCGATCGAGTGTCGACCGAGTATCGATTGGGATGTCGATCGAGGGTATCGATTGACACTCGGCCGTGGATTCGTAATTAAAGCTCCATACTAATAGGTCATTTCCGAGTAACTTTGTGCCTCTATTTCAAAACTTAACGAGTCTTCGTGCAAACTCTTTCATATGAAAGCAAGTTTGATACGCATGAAAATGAACCTGTAGGCAGAACTCAGTTTTATATGATTGGTTTCGCACAAAGCCTCGTTTTGAAACAGAGGCAAAAGACAACTCGGAAATGGCCTAATTACTATTATATCTTCGAAACGAAGAACATTTCCACTTATCCCAGTCGTAACCTCAGGTAATTCTGAGTTACACCGCGTAAGAAAATGGACCATTTCGGCGATGCGGCGGCCATTTTGAATTGTATTGTTTCTAATAGCTATTATGGGATGCCGAGGGGGCAAATACATACTAATTTGCCCCTGGGCATCCCGTAAAAGCAATTTAAAACAATACAATTCAAACTGGCCGCCGTATCGCCGAAAAGGTCCATTATTTCTTAAAAAATTGCTCCAAATTAATATTTTAAATAATGACATTTTGTTTATTTCAAACACGCGCCGCGAATTCAGAATAAACTGAACAATTGTGGTTTTAGATTTGAAAAATCAACCAAACTCCATCCAAACTTTAAAAAAACTTGACTTTTTTTTGAAATTTTTAGAAGCGAAGTTCTTTTACTGTGAATCGGCGCACTAATTTCCGAAATTTGATGGTGGTTCGCGCCTAGCCTACGAACAGGCTCACCTTTGAGTCACGCGCGCGAGCGGCGAAGAGCAAGGCGATTCGGCGGGAAGGAGTCTGGTGAAGAGGCGCCAAGAAGGTCACTTGCTCGATTTCGCGCTCGCGGCTATGCCGCGCGCGCTTGTGCTCCCACGTGAGCCTGCTCGCCAGCTAGTTCGCGCCAGTTAAAGGCTTTGCGATTTTTCTGGAAAATAAAAGCAGATCTGAACTTATCGATTATTAATTCGTATCTCTGAGAGAGATATGAAGGTTTTTCATTGTTTAATCATGCGACAAAATTTTTGAATTTCAGTCACGCAATCTTCGAGGACATTCCCCGATTTATTTTATTGTGCCGAAACCTCTCTTTAAAGGTGTGTGTCGCGCATAAGTACCCGGTACATGCAGTTAACAACTCAACTTGCGTACCAATGGTCCCGATGGCTCTGTGACTACTGCGTCTAATCAGTATCTTGAAGATAACGGGGTTCAACTCTCGTTCAAGGCTTAAAAATCTTACAAAACTGAGTAATTCATCTCTTCATTTATCTAATAGAAAATTCAAGTTAGGATATATTGTTCGTCATCAAAGCGACCTTAAAGGATCGAACAAAGATGACTAGCTATTCAATTTACATAATCCTACTTAATTCAAAACAAATCAGAATTGCTTTAGTCCTGCACGGCGCAGGATGCAGCTTGCGTCTTCCTGTCAAGGAAAATGCGACTGTTATGCTTTAGATATGTTCTGTTCGGCTTTACATGAAGAAGTGTCAACACCAGTGGTCACTTTTCCACGTCTGTAGCTGCTCAAAGAGTTTACATTTTTCTAAACTTTCGATTACTGAAATATGCTTATTCAATATTTTTACTTTATAATTTAACTCTATTTAAATAATCTATCACATGCGATTCGACGCATTGTTGTTCATCACCAAGTTACATTTCCGCTTGTGGTGTTTGTAACTGGTCTTTTGGCTTTCCTTCCTTGACACCGTGTTCTCTTGTGGCTAGCAAAATCCAGGTTTTGTTTTTGTTTCCGCGCAGGTTTCGCCTTCTGAGGATTACTACTATTACTGCAATAACTAAGATGAGAGCCAGAGCGCCCAACGCCCAAGGTAGAGCTTTAACATACACAGAGGGCTCGTGAGATTCTGTTGAATACAAAGCAGAAATAAAAAAAAAAAGATAAAAAAAAGCATGAAAATGACACTTCTACTTTAATGAGTTCTCGATTTTAAACTGATTTGCAATAACTTTATTAATGAAAATTTCGAAATAGTTGCGGTTAATATAAATTGAAACGGTCACAGGAGAACGTACGGTCGGGCTCAGAGTGGTCATCATTCGGGACCTTAGGCAACAACAACACCGATGCCGAGGTCGACGTCTAGTCAAAAATGGATTTTTATTTTACCAGCGATATTCACGATTTTGTAGCTCTGTTCAGTATGCCAACGTTCTTAGGCTAAATATGCAATGACAGCGTTCAATTCCAAATGGAAATACGAAAAATTAGCCATCGTCGTTCGCCTTTCTCAGATTCCCGGGGGGTACTTCCAGAAAAATTGGGTGGGGCTGTACGGTCCACTTCCCAAAAGCCTTACCCTATTTATGACCAAAATCTGTGATTTTCCCTATCCTATTTATGACCTGGCAAAAAAATTGGATTACCAATTTATGACCGTTACGGCTGGCACAGTTTCCCTAAACATAGTTTATGATGGGCTGTTATTGATTGCCTTATCGATAAAGTTGAAAAAGTAGCTTCATCTAAAAAACATGCCCAATTCAAGACTAGAGTGCAAAAACCGTACCCTATTTATAACCAAAATGGCCAAAATCGATGCCCTATTTATGACCAAAACGGCTGAAAAACCATACCCTTTAGGGCCGCACATACCTATATAGCCCATATAAGGGAGTACTCCCCCCCCCCCAGGGCTCAGACCACGCAGAAAGTGGTCATTTTACCTTGTTGTTTTGCATAAAACGGCAAAGAAATGTACAAATATTTATAACGCACGTGCACACCTGTTGTTTTGCTCGTTAAACCTTTCGTCACGTGATGTTCTCGTTGCCGTCGTCGTCCGCGTAGTTTGCTTTGAGCTACATTGCAGCGGCACGTCTTTCGCAGAGCTCTTTCAGAACTGAAGTTGCATCGCATCAAAGGGATCATTATTTGCCTTCAAGTATGGAACGGTTCGTGAAAGAGGTACACTATTGTGTAAGCTCACCTCTTCTTCATTGCTGATTCAGCTTGAAAGCATGAATAACAACAACGAAAAAGATTCTCTATTCATACTAACCTTCAACTTGATCTTGAAATCTAACTGGTCCCAAGGATAAAAACACGTCTTTGTCCATAATAAACCTCTTAGTCTCTCTCCTGTGCCTCCTGTCTTTCTTGCAACCTCGGTCGCACACAGACCCAATGTCGGACCGCCGGCACGTCACTACTTTACAGTGCACATATAGTCGCTTGGAGACCACGTCGCGGAAGCGAAACGCTCCAAAATTGAACTTTTGCACAGATGACTTCTTGTAGACGTAGTGCAATGACGCATCGAGGGAGCAGCTAAAGAAAAGAAAAATAAAGTTGTGGGATTTCGACTCTAGATTTCTAAGAAACGTTTACTGCCATTCATTGCCAAACTTTCCTTATCTTCGTTAAACTGCAAATCACGTTGTCAGCCAGCCTCCATCATAACCCTAGTCTATGACCATATCGTAGAGAGGTTTGTTTTTTCTTTTAACCGCTATTAATTCCACCTGGTAAATATTTTATTACTACAGTTCCATTTCACGAACGTACCCTTGTTTGATGAGTATATGTGTTGTTTGGTCACGTGGGTCTGGCGTTGGTGTTACCCAGCATTCTTCGAGAAAGGTCAGCAGACTCCGATCACGTGACTTGACATTCACCTGAAAATACATCCGCTGGCCAGAATGCACTGTAACAGGGTATTGGTTAACGACTATGTCATATTTGGGATCCTTGAACATGTCCATTTCAAAGGTAAAGTTACCAACGCCATCTGCAAAGGTAAACGGTTTTAAAATATTTATAATCATGAAATGACTTTAAAAAATGTTAAATGTTTACAGTGATCAATGCGCTTAGCTACAACTAGCTAGTTCACAGGCATGCCACTTAAACTGAAAGAAAGAAATGTTTCTCTGTCGAATAAACATAGTAGGCTCCCAACTGGCGGGAGTCAGATCAGTTGCCGATTCACAAGCGGGACCGATCGAGGAGTTGAACTCGGGTCTATAGACCAGCTCACAAAACAACTCCAACTTAGTGGTTAGAGCGGACTTGAACTCGCGACTTCCGGATTTCACGTCCGGCGCCCTAAATACCCGACCACGCCGCTTCCCTGATTTAAAATAAGATCAGACGATGGAGCGATTGAAGAGCAGAGGTGTCTTAGCTGCATTCAAGAGGCGCAAATCTTCATACAAGGATGCAAGCGTGAGAGACGATAGAATTTTGGTACAAAAAGGGGAGCTACGAAATGACGACAGACGCATTTCATGGAACCTGACAAAATTAAGTTTTAAGTTTTTTTGCGAGAACAAGAAAGGGAAGTCAGGCGCTCTGTAAATTCTATTTGCCTGTACCATCATTACTCAACTGCTCCTGCTACCTGCATGCATCTCTGTGTTTCAGTCGAGTACAGTTATGGAGGTGCGGCCTGAAGCACACACTTTCGAACATAATGTTTTCTTATTCCTGCTGTAAATCATTCCTTACTTACCATCGGAAGTAAGGAGTGCCTTTCGTCTCGGTGAATACGAGACAATGGACAGCACATGAAGCTTTTTAAACGAACACTGGAACTCAAACTTCAACCTTCCTTTCCTTGTAATTTCAGCACTCGATTTCGAAGACTTCTCGTCCCCTGTCATGGTGTTGAAGTAAATGAAATAGTCCCCTAAAGTCTTTTGCTGCGTGCCGCACCCATCCAGCGGAGCACTCAAGAGAGCATGCGTGTCATTGATGAAAGACACCTTGCATGCTGGATCTTGAAGGTGAAGTGAACTGATAACTAGATGAGGTCGCAGGAATCGCGATATTGTTACCTCCATGGCATAGTGGGTGCATTTCACTTCTAATCCTGATAATTAAAACAACACGCAAGAGGTTAGCTACGGTATGCCTTGCAGGTAAAGTATTCTAGAGTGAGATTCGCATCTTAACGAATAAAGAAGGGCCGAACTAACAATCATTGTGCTGAGAGTATCGGTTAGACTCTTTAATCAAACAGAGCTTCTGTCTTCACCCAGCTGTGTGTAAATGGGCACTACTGAATGAAATGTTGGGAAGAACGTTGCAATGTACAAGCATCAAAGCCAGGGGAAAAAGAAAGGGCGGGGGTGGGGGCGGTGAGTAGAAATACTTGATACATGCTGCGGGAAGTCGAGTTTACCGCCAACCGGGAAAGCCAACCACGGCTTTTTACTTTTCCTGTTTTAGCTTTGCCAGCAGTGATAAGTAGTTTGACCCAGTTAGAGAGTTAGTCATAACAAAGACTGTGAAATTTATCAACCTGGGCGCTGGATATCTTCAGAGTCAAGATGCATGACTAAAGGTATCCAGACCCTCAATGGCTCTAGCCCAACAACATTCTTGCATGTATACATATCTCAGAACAATTCCATTATCTGGATATTCAAAAATTCTCGAGCTTAAGTCGAACAACAAAGTAATAATGATAATCAATTTTCATTTTTACCTATCAAAGGATTGTCTGTACCGTTGACTGGAATGTACTGTGTGGTAGGCCGCTCTATCGGCGTTTTTTCTGGACCAGAGGGGGTCTCCTCACTTGCTTTGCTTGGCTTCATACTAATACCCTCGCTGGAAAAATCTTCGGGTTTACTTGTAGAAATAACATGGTCCGCTCGAGCTAAAGAACTTGTTGGAACTACAGGTGCTGTATTTTTGGTTCCTAAGACGTAACTTGCTGTTCCGGTAGACGTGATAGCATCCCTTGGAGTTTTAATTTGGCCAATGGGAGATCGTATGCCGTTGCTGTCCTCGGCCGTAGCAAAAGAGCGTCTAGCTTGAATAAGAGTTTGTTTCGGAAAACTTGATGAACTAGTGACAGAGGTAGCAAGTTCCAAAGTGTTTGATCTCAGCAAAGACACGGATGTAAGCGTTATAACTTCACTTGAATGTACTATTCTTCCTACACTGGCGTTGACTATTGGAAGAATCAACGTGGGCGAGACTGTCAATGAAGAAACAGTCCCTTGCTTCTTTATCTCCACTGCTGTGGTCTTCTGAGGGGAGGAAGTGTTTGAATGCCATCTGTTACTCTCAGAAAATGTCAGGTGCACGGTTGCTGTGATTTCCAACGCTGGGGTGCTTGTTAGACTCCCTAACCTTGCTAATGTTTTCACAGAGCTTGGTAGTAGCGATGTTGTCTCTTGATTGGTCACTTTTGTAGTAGTCTTTACTTTGAATAAATAGTTGAAGTAGAGAGAAGAAAAAATGCCATTAAACTAAATTTATTGATACATCCTTGAGATTATACAACGGTAGCAATAATTCGTGACACCCAGTCACAAAAGAGATGGGTGTAGGTACATTCATTACTTATTATATGGCCAGCTCCGTGAGCGGGCAAGATGAATCAAATCCTGCGCTGTGATTGGCTACCCGAGCGGGCAAGATGGAGCTATCTTTCCCGTTCGGGACTACCTGCCGTGTCCCGCAAGAAAAATTTCCCCCAAAGCCATACAATAAATCGTTTATCGGCCAAGCTTGTTTGGTCAAGATGGCTTGATATTGGCCTCGTCCTTTTTTTTGCGAGTTTATGGACCTCGACTCCGTCTCGGTCCATAAACACGCAAAAAAAGAACTTGGCCAATATCCTTTCATCTTGACCTCACACTTGGTCAATAACCCATACACAGATAATGGAGAACTCGAGTTGACGCTGTTTGCTTCAACAAGACGCGCTGTCATGACGGACATGCTCTGTAAATTAGAAAGTGGCATTAAGTTCAATTTTTCTCCCAGACTATTTTCCTCAGTTATATTTTTTGCTCTGATGAACTTGGCAAAGATATCAGTTTAGTTCAATGTTAGTGACCGTTGTTTGAAATTCTAAGAAACCATGAGGGCAATGGAAAGGAAAACTGTTTGAATCCTGTTTAGGAGATTTACCCCTAGATTTGCTGATTTTTTGCTAGAAGTGCTCCAACTCCATAACGTGTCAAAAATTGTACCTTAAAGGCACGCATTGGCCACAGTAGGGGTATCGAATGGTCTTTACGAGCATTTGCGAGCATGCGGGCAGCGCGTTTATTTTTGTTCGCACGAGCAGTGATCAAGTTTGTCTTGCGAGCAGCGAGCACTTTTGAAAATGAAGATGGCGGGCAGCGAGCACTTCGTAAATTTTCCGCTAACTGTAATCTTTATCTTAGTCTACCTTTGCGGGTGCCTTTTGTGCCACTTTCAATAAAACGTTAGCAAACCAAGGAAGCATGTTTCAAGAAACATTCATAGGGCGTACATGCTTCCCCAATGTTTCCCAGTTTTTCCATACGGGAATTGAACACATTTTAACGAGAATCCGAGCATGCGAGCAGTTGCAAAAATTTTGCGAGCACGAGCAAGCAAGCACTCGTGTAATTTTTGCGAGCAATTCACTTTTAAATTGAATGGGACCATTCGATACCCCTCACAGTTACAGACCTCTAGTTGAGACTGGATTGTAAGAGCCTACGGTAATTTTACTTGTCTAAAGGAGTTCGCGATAGTATTGCCATAAGGTTTAGTTTACTAGGTAGTTATTGTGGTATTTTTGTAAGTCATACCAAACCCATCAATACCCCTGCAATAAATTAAAGGTCTTATTTATCGTTGCGAAAATTATGAAATTTAAAGGTTATGTATACAGTGTAAGGTACGCAGTGTACGGGAAAAAAAAGCGTAGTCGTATAGCAGATTGCCTCGACTTCGCATTGCTAACAAACACTTACCTGAGGTTCTGCAGACCTGCCCTTGTGCATCGAAACCAACTACAACAGTGCTTGTTAGCGAGCAATTGCTCTTACCTGCTGGGCATTCTTCAGGAGCTGAGAGGAAAAACAAAAAAGACGGCAATTCGAGCAATCCCTTTTTCAATATCTGCGGTGATGGGTTAGCCACTTTGCAAATTACAAATGTACGTGTAGTTGTAGATTGATGTGGATGTAAATCCTATTCACTTTTTCTAGAACTAAAGTGGCCATTAAATTAACGTACAGAGCAAGAAATGACAGCCGTGAAAAACTGATAATATACAAACCTTTTTAAGGTGGCTCAAAACAGTAATATTTCCGTGAGACGCCTGAGATCGAGCGCGCACTTAAGGGCAAGGCCTTACGCTATCACCCGAGGGGTCGCGGGATAGCGCGCGAGATTTAAAGCTTACAAAAATCAAAACAAACATGGCGGCACGAGGCCTACTTCGTAAAACTTTGTTTCCGCCAAGTTTAGTACGCTGTTTGCGTTATCAGTTATTTTTACCTTCGAAAAAATCCATCCGTCAGGCAATTTCAAAGGAAAAAACATCATCTTATACCGCTGTGCTGGAACGTAAACGAAAATTGTGCTGTTGATGTTGCAATCGATCGCGCCGGTTATCAATCTAAAAAACAGCAGGAATAAAACTACTCTTCAGGTTTTCTTCGTTCTTTCTACTTGGCTAGTCTCACCTTCGGGTATTTATGGTACATTTCTTCTTCCGCTTATGCTGCTGACGACAACGGAGAAAAAGAAAACACTATTCGCGTGATTCGCGTTTATTCGCCTGGGAATCGCGGGCTTTACTGATCAGCGGACCGCCTTCACGCGTGCGCAAGGGGTGATCTTGCAAAGTCGAGGTTTTAATTTTCGCGTAGAACGCGCGCGAAAAATACCTTATCCACGAAGCTAATATCTCAAAAACTGATCTGGTGACCCTACGCTTTTAATGCAAAAAATATTCAACAGCAAAAGCGGAATGCATACGCGAAATTTAAAAAAAAACTGTGGAGTGGAATTTCTCCAACCATTTTTTTAAGTTTAGGAAAAATCTACTCCACAGAATTTTATATAATTTTGCCTGTTTCTTCTTCTGTGTGTAATAAAAAGATTTTTTATAAAAAATATGGGGTCACCGGCTTAGTTTTTAAGATAGATACAATTGATGGTAAAAAGTGGGTCGGGTTTGTTGCTAGGCAACAGCAAAGTGCAACCTTAATTATGACTTAAACACAATGAAAGGTACAGTGGAGAGTTACCTTAGAAAAATAGCACAGCCTTTCAAAACAGTACAGTTCCAAGCCAGAAACTTCACCTGATTCTCAAAAAAACGAAAACTGTTTTGAGCCCCCTTAAAGTCTGCTGGAAAAGATTTTAACACATATTTTTTCACTCTTATCAAGTCTCTTTTAAAATTAGGTTCCAATCTTTCTCCGTAGCGTTTAAATTGAATTGTATTCTATCCAACCGTCAGTTCGGAGGATGTATTTTTGTAGTTTACGAAAGGCCAAGTCATTAATCAAAGTTTTTTTTTTTTACAACATCATGCATATAACCGCAGTGTGTATATTATTTATGGTAAAGTTTAAATGGCCGCAGGATAAGAGTTTTACGATGCAAATTATACAGTTTGCCGTCAATTTGCTCCTGTCAAAAACTCACCGAGAGCTTTGTAGGTTGCATAGAAACCAGGCCAGTTGTTTTTCTTGTAGGACGAAAACCTCACCCACATTTTCTCCATGAAAGAAACAAACGTAAACAAGCGCTTGCAACCACAAAGTACAGTCACATCATTGGTATAGTTTCCACGATACTCGCTTATTCTGATGCTGTCGTCTCCACAACTCCCTGGTCGGGAATACCGATGGTCTTCAATGCCTAGCCACTGAATTGTGAATTGCACACGGTACCCTGGAGGGGCAATGATTGTCCACAAACAATTTCTGCTTGCGCCATAGTTGTTTGGAAAGTTTGGGCTGCTTACGACACCTGACGGTTCTCTTAGATAGGTGTTGAGGCCACACAAATCTAAATATAAAACAGAACAGACCGTATCAAAAAGTACTCCTCGACTTCGGCAGGAAATTTCATGATTACTTATTATCTCGTGTTAACGCCTTCGGCGTTTATTTCAAACTTGGCTTGGTGATCCGGTATTTTTTTTTGACTCCTGTAGTTTATTCGCGGTCAATGTTTGTAACCCGTGAATGATCTCTATTCTATGTTCGTTTGTTTCTTTGTTTTTGAATATTTAAAGATAATAAAAACCGTCTAGGCGTTCTGCACGTGACGGAATGTCACAAAAAGTGTGCAAATTGCCTCAGATATGAATGATGCAACAGTTTGTTTTCACGTCAAATGTATACAGCTGTTTTGGGAAAGTTTGCCCTACAAAGCGTTGGCGACAATGCCGAAAGGTATTATGGGTGATATTAGATGGTCTTTATGGACAGCGCCAGTTTGCCGCTGTTTTATTGAAGCTCATGGTGTTTCAGTATGATAAAAGGAAAAGTCATGAACACGTACATTTGTGGTTTCTCCTTCATTTGCTCTGAAACGCCGGCAATTTTTCTGTTTAGATGAGAGTATGTAAATATGGTTGTGACGTTTTGGATTCGCGCGTATTTTTGAGAATTATTTTATAAAAGCAATAAAGCACTTTTCCCGTGTTTTCATAGCCTCATCTAAACGCTCGGGGGATTGGGAGAACTCTCGAATTCTCCCAACCCTCCTCGTGTTTAGATGAGGCTATGTAAACACGGAAAAAAAGTGCTCTATGGCTCAAGTAAAAACGGTATAATGACGACCTCTCTCCATACAAGTTTAGAAAACAGTCCTAAGAAAATACGCGCGCTGATTGGTTAAAAATCGTGTTTCTATTAAACAACTAGATTATGAGTTCGAGATTTCTATCGCGTGTTAGCAGAATTCTACTAGTATACTAATGCAAATGCTGTAATTTGATTGGCTGAGCCATTGAACACTATCAGCCATTAGGGTGCAGTGGTTGGAGGT